CTTCCGATTATATTTAGAATAGAAAATTTTAAATTAATATAATTAAAATATAGAATACAAAATATCGATATAAAAAATTATAAATTAATATAAATAACTAAATCATATTTTTATAAGAAAATTATTAAAAAATATTAAACAACATAATTTATTTTAATTTATAATTTTTAGTAAATATGTTTATTTATTTATCAAAAGAATATTTTAAAAGATTAGAATATATATATATATATATGTATGTATGTGTGTGTTAGTTCAACTCAGCCTGAAACAAATCTTGACCTATTTTTATTAATTTTAAGTCGGCTCATCCGATTTCTTATCAATTCTTTTATATATTATTTTTGTGGTTCTTCTAAATTAATAGACCGATCGATTTCCAATTCTTTTTAACAACATAACAAAAAAATCCTTTCATTTAAGAAAAAGTCTATAAACACTTATACGTGATTCATTTATTCATGTTTAATTTATACAAATAGATATTTTATACTGTAAAGTATTTTTTTTTAAATTAATATTTTAAGATATTAAAATTTAATTTAAAAACAAATATTATAAATATAAATTGAAATAGTTGAAAAATTGCAAATACTCTTGTTAAGATATAATTTCTAAAAATGTTATTAATGAAAAAAAAACCTACAAACACCAGCACGATTTAATTATTTATATTTAATATATAAAGATAAATTTGTATCAAATTCTTACGTCTCTCATTTATGTACATTTAAATATGTTATTACGTACCTTTAATAATAGATTTATATTTAAATTAATATTACCGGGAAAAATCCATCCTTATCCGGTTATCCCTGTTTTGTATATTATCAAATTTGTTGTGTGATCCACATAATTTATCTTCTCTTATATTAAAATATACAGGGACATTTTAATGAACGGCACACAATCTTCAGTTTCTACGAAAACACGAAGTGTGACTACTGACTTTGTTTTGTTTCATTTCCAACCACTGAGCTAATCCACTAGAGTCATTTGGCCTAATCATAATTTATTTTTACACTCCAATTCTGTTTCCCTCTTGCAACAAAATAAAACATAATTCGAAAGAAATTCACTTAAGAAATAAGAGCAAACCCAAATTCTCGCCCTTAATTTACTATGATTTAATTTAACTATTTAAATTAATTTTTAACTAATCATCTTCACTTGACATTTAGGTAGTCTTTGAACAAACTTTAATAGGGACATGGTGTACCAATATATTATTCACCGAATTCCTCTCACCCACACAATTATATCATGCATTAACCAACCTGATTTTTTTTTTTCTCTCTTTGGTGGTACAGAACTTCTGTGTGTCATGCTTTAAAAAGTTACTATTCATTTTATTTAGTTGTTTACAATTTTGTCCTTTACCAAATTGACACATACTCCACCGAGGGATTCGATTACTCTTGATGACATTTTCGGTTTTTCCCATAAAAGGGATTTCATTTGTTTTAATTAACAATAAAAATATATATGCCTAAATGTATCCAGGAATCAAACCCGACAACTCACTGAGTTAACAGAACATTCATGCCACCATTGATTTTATATTTTACCAGTGCTTAGAATTAATTTATACGAAGCTCCAACCTGCTAACACCACCTACCTCCTCAAAGACAAACACTGTTCATCTCTAAACTCTCGGGTTCAACAGAAAACAACACAAGTTCAAAATCGATAAGGAATTTTCTTTATCACTAACAAAGGTCACAAATTCGAAAATGACAAACGAACCTCAATGGTATCAACATAACCTTCAAACTCACAAATGCGGAATTTACAAGTTCTAAATAAAAACGACCTCCAATGATATCAACATAACCCTTAAACTCGCAACAGCAGAATTCACAAGTCCGGCAACAGGCGATGCGAATCTTACCACTCCTGTAGGTTGGTTGATTAAAGGCAAAAACACAAATGTCACTTTCTTGATTAAAGGCCATAAATGTCAAACAAACAAAAAAAAAATCTCATTTAAAAGTAAATAACATCAAAGAGCGGAACGAGCCAGAAAGAGACGGTGACAGGAGAAAAAAATTCAGGTGGTGACGGTATATAATATAATTGGGGAGATGAGATAAATTTGACTATGAATATTAATGGTACACCATCATAAAGATGTCCACCATAGCAATTGTCACTTTAATAAGGCATATCTTTTTCTTGAGAGGATAAGCTTAGCTAAACTCGCTATCTGAAAAAGTCAACTTTTATTGGAAAATATAAATAAATAAAAAAACACGGACATAACATTAAAACCACCTCTGGGCACAATACAAGACCTCTAGTAATCACTGTGAACTAAGCTAAGAAACTATTATTTTATTTTTCCTGAAATGAAAAAATATCAACTTTAAACATTCAAATTCACTCGGGAAAATAACATTACATTGTTGAAAATTAAACATGGCTACCAACAGGAGCTAAGCACCTAAGAAACAGGCCTTACAAATGGTAAAAAGTTTGACCAATTCGTTAAAATGAAAAATGCAATATCAATAAACATTAAATACCCGATGGCAGAGGCCTGGAATGTTGAAATCTAAAATAAGCATCTAAAGGTGTTCACTTGGGACCTCCAAATTTGCTCATCATTTTCGCAATTACAGGAGCCACCTTCGGATTTGCTTGATGCTTGGCCAAATTAGCAGGGTTCTTCATAACTGCGCCAACCCCAAAATGAAAAAGGAGAAATTGCAATTAATAACCAGCAAATCAAATACTTTCTCCGTAAACAACTCTAAAATATGGGGCAAAAGAAGTATGAAATGGTTATATGCAACATATTTAGCATAACAGGGTCATCATCCAACATATAATATATATATATATATATATATATATATACAGAGTAGATCTTTTCAGCTTGGGAATTTAGATCTTCAATGTGCAATTTTACGAATTTCAAGACAAATCTAAACAAATATCTCTATTAATAATTCTCTTAAACTTCTATGAACAGCTTGGCATGCAATGCCAGTTAAAAGTTTCATGGAGCCACACAAAATACCCAGCAGAAACTATGTAAACAAATTTCAAATGGTCATTTGTTAACATTCACTGAGAGAGAGAGAGAACAGTTTCTTATAATTCTAATGTAGAGGATAGAATAAGTTCATTCTTCACACTTTATAACTTATTTCAAAACTGTCCGCTGCTCATCCAGTTTCCCGCAAACATTAGCCACATCAATCAATTTCATTAATTCTTATGCCTGATTAGGATAGGAACTACTGTGTGTGAGAGAGAGAGAGAGAGAAAGAGAGAGAGGAGTGCAGGGGATTTATATATTTCTCAGTCTAATCAACTCCAGTGAATAATTGGCTATTCCCATCAAAACTATATGCAACAGTTGTTATTGAATAGTGAGAATATAAATCCAAAACTAACTGCAAAGACAAGCACATGGCATTGCAGTTTCAATAAAGTCTGAAGCTTATGAACATTCAGGTTTTGGTTGGCACACATCAAATAGGTCCTCAAATGAGTATACAAACTAACTAGACTAGAAAAAGAATGGAACCAAACATTAGAACTGATAATTACCATCTTGAAGAGCAGCCATAACCTCCGGATCACTAAATGCCGTCATCAGATCAGGGTCCTGAGAGATGTGTCAAGGAAAGTTCAATATCAAGACAAGAATAAGAATGTGTGCACATGTTCATTAGTGAGAAAGGATTTTCCTTAGAGCACCTCAAAGGCACACAAAGACATCCAACATTCGTATTTACTTACATTCAAGATTTTGCTAAAATCAACATTGCCAGGCACCCCTCCAGGCATGCCACCTGCCCCTGGGAAGCCTCCAGGCATGCCACCAGCCCCTGGGAAGCCTCCTGGCATACCCCCAGCTCCTGGGAAGCCTCCAGGCATGCCCCCAGCTCCTGGGAAGCCTCCAGGCATGCCCCCAGCCCCTGGGAAGCCACCAGGAAACCCTCCAGGCATGCCTCCAGGATTTCTACTGGAAGATGATTGCTCTTGCTTCTTAGCCTTCTCATATGCAGCCTGAAAAAAAAAACAGCAAATTAGCAACAACTAAATTACATAGGTTTACATTTCATTTCATGGCATGATCTGTTTTTAGCATCTCTGTATCAAAATTGTGAACCTGAGCTTCAGCACGGCGACGCTGTCGCTCACGCTCCTTTTTTTTCTCCTCTCTTTCTTTGTGCAGCCTTTCATACTTCCGACGGTGTTCCTCAATCTTGTGAGCATTTGGTTCCACCTAGGCAATCCAATATTTACAATGAGTTGCCACATAAATTTCAAGGATATTTCAGTATATCATACAGACAAATCAATACATTTCAAGGAATTCATATTACCGTAAACAAATTTTATAAGGATAACATGACACACCATAAATAAACAACATATTGCTCTAGTTGAATGGCCCACTACTAGATGCTTAACTACTGTTTCAGTGGCAGATAAATGATACGAAGGGTCAAGAAAGCAAACCTTTTTAAGTACAGCACTTATTTCCTCATCATAGTCTAACTTTGAAGCCACATGAAGATCCTTTGCAGCTTCTTCCCATTGACCCAGCAATGCATGTGCCATGCCACGTGACTTGTATCCTTTAGCAGAATCAGGATTAATCTAGAAAAGGCAATAATAAAATAAAAATCCTTGCATACAGGTCAGGTACACACTTGTAAAAGTACTGTCACTGGAAAATATAACATTACGGCCCATATAGGAACAAGGAAATGTCATTGAAACCCATGATCTATAATCTCTGAATAGCATGGATTCCATAGTGGAAAAAGCTCCCCCAAAATGAGTTTAGCCAAGTAAGCAAATGTGTTTTTACCAATAATTTGATTTAAGTGTGTCAAGATCTTAACCCATTAAGTATTTTAGAGAGGACATTCGCCTTGCTTATGCTTGCTCACATTTGAGATAAGTTTACTTTAGTGCCCAGTTCTTTCAGGAATAATGCAATAAAAACATTAAACAAGTACACTTTATTCACATGTATATTTCAAGGCAAGCAAGGATGTAATTCAGTTTGTCAGCCTAAGAAATAAGGGAGAGAATATAACCTCCAAAGCAGCATTTGCATCACGGATTGCAGCATTGGGTTTCTTCATTTTGATGTAAACACTGGCTGTAAATGATTTATAAACCATTAAGAATGAATCCTTATCTTGGGTGATAAAAAAAATAAATAAATAACTAGTGAATGGAAAAAAGAGAACAATCAAATAAAGTCATACCTCTAGTTGCATACATAATGGCAGAGGTGGGATTGAGTAAAATTGCCTCGGTTAAGTTCTCGATTGCCTCCTCCAACTTACCTGGCATTACATGGTCCAATGATTAAGATCCCCAATTAATGTTACAGTTATAAACAATATCACCAGAAAGAATGGCCTAAACACTTGAGAGATATTTGAAATTGGAGTGTTTGGAAGTGGGTGAGTTTGCAACATAGGCTGTTCAAAAGATGTAGCATATTTTGTTAATGAATTTTTCTATCCTTTCTAAAGATCATGGACATGGGAGAGTCAGACTAAACCACATTAAATTCTCATATTATTATTGTTGTAGTAGTGCCTTCATTTCCTCCTCCATGCATGTTTATTGTGGTTCCTAATCCATCCAATTCCTAACAAGTGCTATCCGAGCCTAGTTTGATTATGGTCATCTGTGTATGAAGAAACAGAGGGTAAAATGATCCGATGACACAATCTGCTATGTTATCTAGGGTGCCACATTCTCAAGGAAGAGTGTTTCCCCACACTCCGTGAAATGCTATGAAATTTGAAATGCTTCTCTTTGATGGGAACAGTAGTTGCACAATATGACACCGTGACAGTGCACGTTACATGATCTGTGTATTTATTGATATCACCTGTTATGGAATTACCTTAACACTTAAAAATAGGTAGCAAACTAGCAATAATTAGGTGGTAAGAGGTTACATAAACTTAAAATGAGGGTGTAAAGAATCGAATCGAACTATATACATTTAGCATTGATTTCAAAATGACAAATAACGCAAGACACAACACAAATGATGTCAGTTACATCCTATGAACCAGACAGATATACAAGCTTCCTAGCAATACATATACAGTTAACACTACATTTTTATCCTTGAATCCAACGGTGTTCCTTCCTGCCTACCTCACAACCCGAGCCAATAAAAAATTGTAATATACCTTACTATATCGGACTTTTTTTTTATCTTCTAAGGATCACTGACACACATATTTAGGACCAGTTGTCTTATTAATTGTGTTTGTATTTCACTGTTTCCTTTTCTCGTGCATTGATTGTGGATCCATCCACACCCCAATAATAACCATGAAATATAAATAAATAAATCACATAGCATTATTCACTTTAGAAGAAATTTAACCTTCAGAAATCGCTTCCATGGCTTTCATTTTGGCCACCTGCGAAGCGTCACGACTCTCTTCAGTGACCTCGACAGAGGGGTCTCCCATCTGAAACGCACACGCATGTGCCTCAATGAAAAGCCCAAATGCAACATAAATCAACAAAAGTAATCCTTTTTTACAAAAAGTAAAACCTTCTGTGGAGGATCATCATCGGGCTCACAGGTTTCACCCTCGAGCTCTACATCGGATTCAATTATCTCATCTTCCTCTTCTTCCTCCACCTTCTCTTGTTCCTCCGCAACATCCTCTATGTCCTCATCGTTCTCTACGTCCTTCTTCCATACGCAACACAAAGCAGCATATTACATAAATATAAATATTCATAATAATAATAATAAATATAAAAAAAAGTAACCATGGAACATTAGGGTACCGATTTAGAATATGCAGAATCAGGAAGCTTTGCGCCGAGACTGGAAGGAATAACAAGATAGAAGACAGAGATAGTAAGTTAATAAGAGTGTTGTTTGGAAGAGAAATAGGGGAGTGTTGATTAAATTGAATTAATTTACCTTTCAAGGTAATCGCGGAAGAAGGAGAGTGAAGGATCTGCGAGGACGGAAGGGTTGGACTTACACTGTTCGATGAAATGCTTCAATTCTTTGAGTTTGGATGCGTCCATGTTTGGGGTGGTGGCAGCGCGGCGCACTGTTTTCTTCGATTTATATGCTAACAGAGGGAACTCACACGACAGGGTCTAGACTTTTCTTGACGGGTTGGGCTTCTAGTACCTTCCATCATGGATATCTGTGTTCCTGTTACTTAGTTACTAACGCCGCTATCTTTTATTACTCCACAAGATTCAAATCCATGGATTTACAAATAAATAAATATATATATATATATATATATATATATATATATATA